CCCCCCCCCCACTCAGCCTGCCTGGGTTGGGCCCTCTGCCCAGTGGGCTCCACACAGTCTCCCTGACTCAGTGGCCAGCTCACCAGGGTCTTTATCTTCTGCCCTCGAGGAGAAGGGGCAAGGGACAGAGGGCACTGCTCCAGCCCTGAGGCCTCAGAGACTTGGGAGAAAAGCCACCCTTTCCCACATGCCCAGGCCCTCTGTCTGACCACTGGCCCCCACCACCAAGGTAAAAGCACAATAGGAGACCCCTGACCCATGGGTGAAATGTATATGGGGTTGTTTTTTGAGTCACACGACCCCATCCTCACCCCTTTGCCTTGCTCTCTGTCTCCTCCCCAGACTCTGTCCCTTTCTTTGTCCCCCCACCCCCCACCCCCCATGTAACCTCTAGTTGCGGACGCGGTTGTTTCAATCAATAAAGCTGCAGTGTCCCAGCGTTTGGCCTAGTGGGGTGTGTGTATGGGGGGTGGGGTGGAGGGCTGGGGACAGGGAGGAGCGGGTAGCCAGGCCAGGAAGAGCTGGGGACCCTAGGGAATTTCTCTCAGCTCCCTGGGGACAGCCCTTGTGCTCTATGCACACATCATGAGCTCTGCTCAGGGGCCTGGACAGGGAGGGAGACCCGCACCCTTGCCCCCTCCCCAGCTGACGCAGGGGTCTACGTTCATTCATTCAACCAAAGGGCCCAAATCCTGCCTTCATGGACCTCGTGTTTAGTAGGGGAGGGTGGACATGAAGCTAATGGAGTCCCACCGAGAAATAGATGATTCCAAATCTGGTTGGGGTTGTGAAGAAATAGGTGCTATGAGAGAAAGGGAGAGGAAAGGCCTTCAGGGAAGACTTCTCTGTCCAAGACACATTCTCCTAAAAGCATTCCTAAAGGCCTGAGCCCCAGCGGGCACTCTAGGTAAGCACTGGATTGCTAACCCCAGCTCGGCGGTTCAAAGCCACCAGCCGCCCTGTGAGAGAAATAGGAGGCTATTTGCTGCCAGCAAGATTCACAACCTCAGAAACCCTCTCTGGGTGTCACTTTGAGTCGGAATCGACTCAATGGCCCTGGGTTTGGGTTTGGTTACAGAACGATATAACACGCTCCTATGCACATGATTGGCACTTGGCTGCAGAAAAGGGTGGTTTGAATCCACCCAGCAGCATCTCGGAGAAAAGGCTTGGCGATCCGTCTGTGAAAGGGCCCACCTGAAGAAACACGTCCAAGGAGGGCAGTTCTACTTTGTCACCCATGAGGTCATGAGTCGGAATCCAGCGGTGGGCTTGGCTTGGGTTTAACCCGCGGTGGGAGTGAGATCATTGGGGCAGGGGGATCTTCCAAAGAAACCGAGTGGAGTAAGCAAAGACCTAGAGGGGCTTCGAAAACTTAGACGGGTAAGGAGGGAGAGGGGAGGCTGGCACACATTGGGGAGAGGTGGCTGGTGGCGTGGCTGGGGCAAAATCACAGGCCTTCAAGGGGACGATTCCTCAACGTGACTGACCTCCCAGCCTGGATCATTCCTTGCTGGGGGACTGCCCTGTGCCTTGTCGAATGTTCAGCAGGAATCCCTGGCCTCCCCTCCTCAGGTACAGTGACACAGACCCAGCCCAGTTAGGACGAGCGAGATGTCTCCCACGTTGTCAGCTACCCTCTAGGGAGAGACTCACCGGCTTGAGAACCCCTAGTCTAGGCCCTGTTCATGAAGATCGAAGCTCGATGAGGTCAGAGTCTTGTCTCGTTCCACCGGCCCTTCCCAAACAGCCGGAATGGGCTTGGCCCATAGTAGGCTCGGTGAGTGAATGAATAGGTATCAAAACATTCTGGATTTCAACTGAAGTGTGAAGAGAAGCCGTTGAAAGGTTTGAAGCGGGAGAGTTGCATGGTCCCAACTTGTTTCCAAGTTTAATTTGCCTCGACTTTAACAAGAAGGTGGGAGCCCATGAAGAGATGGCCCTGCTGCTGCAGACAGTTTCCCCACCTCCGAGAGAGGGTCACTCGGGACAAAGACACTGGGGGGAAAGAAGACGTTGGAGTCACTTTCTTGATAAACTTAAACAAATGTTTTCCAGGATAGATTTACAGAAAAATTACAAAACGAGGTCTGAATGTTCGCATATCTCCCACACCCAATTTCCCCTCTGATTAACATCGTCCATTAGCTCGGCACATTTGTCACAAATAATGAGCCAGTGTTGATACATTGCTATTAACGAAAGTCCATATTTTATTCAGCTAGCTGTCCTTTCTACCCAATATCCTTTTGTCCGGGCCAGGATCCCATTCCAGCCATTCTTGCTTAATTCTGCAGTTCGATGTGAGGCAGAAACAATGGACTTCCTGCTCTCAGAGATGAGGTTGGGGGCTGGGGCCCGCCTCCTGGCTTTAGCTCGGTGTGAACACAGGTACCCCTGGGGTCCTCCTATCCTTGATGGCCTTGTCGCTGGGCCTTCTTCTCAGCATCCCTGGCAAACACAGTCTAGCTGCAACAGAAGAGGAAATGAAAAACTCACACCGAACCCACCAACCCGGTCGCCATCCAGCTGACCCTGCCGATTCGGGACAAGCCCGTGTGGCAGGGTAGCACTGGGCTCCGCAGGCCATTGTCAGTGGCTGGTTGTTACAAAGCAGACCACCAGGCCTTTCTTCCGAGGTCCACCTGCAGTTGGGGGTGGTTTGTTGCAGCCATAGTAGATAATCATCCTGGCACAATTTAGCCCCCAACCCAGTCTCGTTCTTCCTGTATGTGGGGCCCCTTTCCTGACGTGCCTGTTCCCTCACAGATTTAATTTTCAAGACATCGTGGACTTTGTCATTCCAACTCTCCCCCAGGACCTTCCGGCAGTGCAGCTCCCAGCATCCTCTGGCTCAGCCTTTCAAGAGAAAAGACGGATTGAGCCGACCTGGCAGTCTGTGCCCAGGCATCCAGTACTGAGCACCCCATTGGTTGGTTGCCTTGAGTAAGGTGCCACCTCTGAGCCAACCAGTTAGGTTTGAGGAGGGACTCATGAATGCCAAACCTAGCTGCCTGGGCATTCTGCAGTGGCCATGGGGCATCCCCCTGGGAGAGCCTGAGAGCTGGCAGCCACCATAAACATGCCTTCTGACCTCTTCTCTCTCCCCAGCTCCTCTAGTTCCCATCTGCTCCCAGGTGCACAGCTGTGTGGTGTGTGCACCATGAACAACTTCCAAGTGACCCCAACCAAGGACAGGCCTCAATGCAAACCAGGCAGGTCAATCCGTTAAAACTTAATAGGAACAGTGTCCTCTATTGCTCACTTAAGATGCCTCGGGGATTTTTATTTTCGTGTTTACCGGTGAGGAAACTGAGGTACCCAAACAGTGCTCTGGGTACCTGAGCTGATGGAATCCGGAGGAAGAAGCACTCAAAGGCACTGTGCTTCTGACTTCAGGGGCCAGAGTCCGCTCACCTCTGCCAGATCTCTCTCCTCTCTTTCCTTCCCAGCTCAACTCCAAGAGTGCAGGCAGAGCCCTTCCTGGTGGGGCTCAGGTTCCAGCCCTTCACTTCTGATGAGAATGGGCCCCGGGTCTTGATGTTCAATTTCTAGCTGCCTGAGACCTTTTTGAAGGAGTCCCGAAGGCATGGTGGTCAAAGAGCTCAACTGTGAAGCAAAGGTTGGCGGTTCAAACCCTCTGGCTATTCCGTGGGAGAATAATGGGGAAATCTGCTTCTGTAAAGATCGACAGCCCTGGAAACTGCATGGAGGTGATTCTCCTCTGTCCTCTACAGTCACTCTGCGTCAGAATCCCCTGCAGGGCAGTGGGCTTGTTTGGGCCTTTTGGCATGTGTCCTTTGTTGCAAGCGACTGTAGCATCGTTTTAGCAAGCAGCTGGGTATAAATAAATTCAAGAGGAAAAAAGTTGAAACCCTTCTCCTTGAAGTCACCCCCACCTGGTTGCAGGCATCTCTCCCCACAGCTTCCAGAACCCTCTGCTCCCAAATTCATCTCTCCCTAGCAGGCAGTCCTGGGCCAGCGCACAGCATGGCTTCCTGGTCTGAGGTCAGTCTGGCAAGGCCCCCCAATGAAATCCTACTCCTGCATTTATCACCCTGCCTCTTCAGTGGGTTTGGTTGCCTCTAAAAAACGTTTGGAGTCTCCTGTTTCTCTTAGGGCCCCTGAGGCCAGCCAGCGCCCAGCGGAGCAGACTCAGCAGGTTGCGAGGCCTCCTGTGGAGCAGCCCCAAGCAGTGCTCCACTCGTCTTCTCACTGTGAATGGTCATCAGGCCTCTTCCCACGCACGGCAATCCCATGTGTGCAGAGGCAGCCTGTCCTGCAGGGGGGGTTCATGACTCTGGCCTTTCCGAAATTTCACCAGGCCTGGCCCCCAAGAACCTCCACGTGGACTGGAAGCACCAGCTTTACAGCTGGTCACGGAGCACTTCCCCCAGGAGCC